TTTGGACACCAAGTCCTCCAACTCTGGTTTTCCTGGGAAGAACGCAAGCAAACTGGGACTGAAGAAGCCGGTTTTGGTGTGTCTGATCAGCTGAACAACGCTAACCCGTTACTTCCCATTCTGAAGAGCAATTCCAGCATTTTACTTATTTTACTGGTATGTGACTTTCACAAGGATGGGCAGTATTCTGGCCCTGATTTGGTTCATAAAGCTCTTAGTGCTGTTACGAGGCCAAGGATTCTGCTAGAAGGGCCCATATGTTTATGCACAGACTTCCACCTTCCAGGAAAACCTGATATGGTAATGGGACTGTGTATGTTTGTTGGCTCTTTCTCTGTCATTCATCCACTGTGATAGAAAGGGATCTTCTGAGAGTTGGCTAGGAAGAGATCTGAGTGCTACTGATGTATGCCATGAAAAGCCCCATTCCTTTTCCTATCCAGATGTACAGCTGGGTACTCCAGATTCTTCTGTGGCAGCCTTTCAAGAAGCTGTTTTGCTAATTTGGGAGCGACGGTTTGCTACTGATAGATGAGAAGGGTATGAGGAACAAAGAACTTTGAAGAAAGCAGCGTGCAGAGAACAGGTCTTGAGGGCAAGGCTTTCTGTTTGCTTGGGGTTTTAATTTTGTTTGGTTTTAACTGGAGAGTCTTGTCAGATTTTTCTGAGTTTTCAGGACTGCAAATAACACATTTTATTGCTCTTGAAAGGTAAAATAAAAATCTTGGGACAGGGAAAATTAATCAGGGCTGAGGAGAAAGAGGCTTTGAAGTAGTAGGACTAGTGTGTTTGCCTTTAGCGAGTGTCATGAGCCCTGTTAATCTACCTAATCATGAGAGAATCCAGGTCCTGATGGCTGCTCAGAGGCCTTCTCTCACTTCCACCTCTCCCACCTGCCCTGTCACCCCTCCCCATCAGTGGCCACTTGTCCCAGGACTGTTCAGCCAGTTACATAGTAAATACTTCCTAACATTTCCACACAAGAACATGAGATTTTCCTGTAAAGGCAGCAGAGCTGTGATGTTTCTTCTTCAGCCTGTTAGAGAAATTAAAACTATGTATCCTTCTGAATAGAAACCCATGTCAGCAGACAGCGAAGAAGCAAGGTTTGATTCTGAGTGAGCACCTGTTGGGCATTACAGACTGGCATGTATTTGTTATGATCTGAGAGGCTATGAAGTAAATTTTAAGATCCCAGGTTACTGAAATGACTGGCAGGAGGGCTCTTGCGTAGGGCAGTTCTTTCACAGTAAGGGTGATGTTGCAGAGAAGGTAGCAACATCCAGGTATTTGATACCCTTAGTAAAAGCAATCAATGAGTTTACATGTCAGTCCAAATTAAGGAGGAGAAGTGTCCCATGAGGCTTGCCTACGCTGTTACCTTTGGCAGTAGTTCTGGAACCTATCACTCTGTAAACTAAGCATCACAGGTCTATCAGTAAGCAAAAGAGAAACAGTGGCTCCTTCCCTGAATGGTACCGCGTTCCTACTTTCCCTTTTCTGTCTTGCCATGTGCTCTTGCACAAATTAATTTAGCTCTGTCCTGGTCTTTAAAGTGAGTTGTAATAAATCACAGGCTTTGACAATTCACCTTTCAGTTGGGGAAAAGCACAATCAATCTGAATTTAGATGGGCTAATAAAACAGTGCAATATCCTGGGGTAAATATACTGTCAGATGTAAACAAAACTTATGAGGTGAATAACCTCAGCCTAAGATGCACTAGTAAAAGGGAAAGGCCTCTGTATGGCACAGTGAAACAAAAATGAATGTCCTTCCAAGGATGATTTATTTGCTTATCTGATTTTAACAATTGTCTGGGTTAGATAGAACAGATGGTTAGTGGCTTCATCTAAGACCTGGAGCTCCTGAGTAGGAAGGAAGATGTTAAGGCAGTGATGCGTTTACCAGGACCAGGAAGGCTGTGGCCCTTGGTTAGTGCCATTTTGTGCTATGTGTGTTCATCTGAGGGTGAATGTGGTTGTGATTACACACTGTCCCACTTGTCTTCTCCATGCTCCAGATCTGAGCTGCTCTCTCAGAGAATGGAGATAGGCTGGCTGATGTTAGATTCCCTCCCTGAGTGTCATATGGAGCAGATTTATGTCAGCAGACCTGATTGTGCAGACAGCTCCCCGCCCCTTATTCCTGAAGGTCTCTGACATGGGCAGAAATCAGGCTCAGAACTAGAGGGTTTTTTCTGGCACAGGCAGCCTGTTCTTACTTTAACTGCTTTCCTTGGGTATGGGGTCCTGCAGCCACTTCCTCTCCACCATTCCAGTCTGGATGCATGACTACTTTGTGATAGGGGAAGGCAGCTGGAAAAGGCAGTAGGCTGTCCTAGCAGGCTGTAGGCTGGGTTGCTGAGACCAGTTCTCTGTTCACCTCTTTCAGCTGTACCATTTGCAATGCAGTAGTCAGGACTACTGGGAGAGGAGAGGAAAGGTAGTGCTGATGTGATACATGTTGAGATGATCATATTAAGTTGGCACTACCAGGTGTTTTCTGCCTGATCTTCATGGAACTGTGTCTATACATGCTGTGCAGGTGAATTTAATGTTAAACACCTTCACAACAAAAGTATGCCCGAATTAAGGTTACTGGCTGTGGGGTTCAGCTCAGACACTCCAGACAGAGCTCAGTAGTCAAGAAGCAGGCTCGTGGGCTGAATGCTGTGTACATGACTCTTTCATCTTCCATGACTGAGTGACTGCTTGTCTGGTTTATGTACATTTCATGCAGTTTAGCTGTTAGGTTGCTACTGCAGATACAAGGCTGCCAGCCTTTTGAAAACAAGTAACTATGGACTGACTCATAAGCTTGATTTTAGGTAAGCATCTTTAATATGCAACCTGATTTTTCAAAACAACAAGGAGATCAGAAGTGCCAGAGGCTCCATGCTCTTGGAAACAGGGCCCTGGCTTTAGGATCTCACTTATCTAAAACCTTGACCTTAAATATGTGTTACCCCTACACTGTTTGCTGGATGGGAATTACATAGCCAAATGCATTCTTTAAACGGCATATTACCCAGAGATGCCTATCAGGTGAGAGTCCATCTGCTTTATTCAGTTCTCTCTTTAATCAGGACATACTTAATCTGATCAATGCTTTATTAGACTGTTTCCCAAGGCACCAGATATTAGTATAACGGTATTAAATAGCAGTAACTTCTGCCTAATCAGGGCAGAAAGGTAATGTGTGCTTCTTCCCTTGCAGGACCTGGTCTGCTCAAGCTCTGTGGAGGTGGCTTGGAAGGTGTTGATGACTCTAAGGACCTTCCTGGAAAGAAATGACGATGTCCTTGTCTGTGACCTCCTCCGGAGTCAGTTCCTACAGATTCTGCAGCAGCTGCTGGTAGAGAACAGCTCAGCCTCCTTACAAGGTGACTCCCTTCTGTCACTTGGTCTTGCTGTAAGATTAACTAGCAGGGCAGATGGCTAAAGGGATGCAGTCTGGGATAAAGTGTTTTTGAACTGCCGGTGTAGCTTCAGTACTTACCTGGATGAGGAAATTTACAGACAGAACTGTGCCGATTTAGTTTTCTTCTCCAAATATTCTTGTTTTGAAGTGAAAGAATATTTTTCTGATTTCGGTTGTTCTGGCTTCAAACTGTGATTGTTAAATGAAGGCAAGGTTTTCTTATACTCTCGTAAGTGTTCAAGTGGAGAGCTGTGCTGGTAAATCTCCCAGCTTGAACAGAGCCTCAACTAGTCACTGAAAGACATCCTCTTTTTTGCCTCTTCTCTGTGCCAAACAGCTCGGTGTGCCTGAGTACACTCAGTTCCCAGGGCACGGGGACTGGCAGCAGAAGTTGTTTGAATCTTTCATGATATTGATCTGCAAACAGGAACTGTGGTATCACTAGATCTCATAATTTCATTAAATCTCTCAATCATTTATCATGGTTGCGACTGGGGAAAATCCTTCTGTTTTCCTTAGAAGCCCTGACTGTGGAGTGGGGACTGTTGTCCCATCATGAACAGTGCTGTACAAAGCAGTCTGTGAGCTTGAACTGAAAAGGGGAGCAGTGCTAGGATGTCCTTGGCTCCCCTGGGATAGGGGCCCCGCGCACCCTTTGCTTGTTCCTGAGGGGGCCACTGACACTTGTAACAGCCCTGCTCTGTTTGGGGTATTTTGCTGTGCAGCAGTTGGGATGGAAGCAACAAGAGGGAAAGTGGTTTTGCCTTACCTCCAGCAAAGTCAGTAGGCTGGAGAAGAGGGGGATTGAAAGCAGGGGCATGGTAGACCATGAGGCTACAAGGTTATGGATAAAGAAGGTAATGTTGGCATCTGCCAGATCTGATCTTGTTTGGAATTATACACGTTTGGAGTTGTGGTGTCCCTCTGTCACTGATCCAGGGCTGTGGGGAGGTAGATTGTCCACTTTCTGTTGCGGGAGTCAGACCTTTTCCTCCAAACTGCTGGTGATGGCGATAGGACACTGGGCTAGAGGGGCTTTTGCAAGATTAGAGCCCTTCTGCTGTGTCTAATAGCCCCAGCTCCTCTTCATACTGCATCTTGAACTCTTTGGCTGAGTTACTGGCAGCCCCATCCAGAAAGTCAAACACCAGATGTACTCTGGAGACACGACTTCCTTGTCTCCCAGCTCACAGGCAGCTCTCTGTGAGGTCTGGGGCAGATAAGTCCAGGGGATCTGCATCCCTGTTCAAACAGTAGCCTGCTCTTAGACAACAAGGCGGCTCAGCAGTGGGACTCCATTAAGAATATGTTTACATTAAAGACACCCGTAAATGTTTCCTCCTCAAAACTGAAAACTCCTGAGCCTTTGTGAAGACATGTTCTGGAGGCAATAGTTTCTTGCTGTCTGTATGGCTATATACAATGCAAAATCTTTACTTGTTTACAGTGCTGCAGAAGAGTGAATATGCTAGGGAAGGGTTTTCCCTGGGGAGTTGCTGGTCTGAGCAGTTCCATTCTCCTCGCATACAGACCTGCTGTGTCGGGCTGTCATCTCTACTGTCTTTGCTCTGCCCTGTGGGGTGAGATGGGCAACATCTGCCGGCCTCACAAGATGCTGGAGAACAAATGCTGTGCAGCTGAGAGCTCTGAGGTGCTGGGCTGCTGTCAAAGCATGGGCTGCCAGTGATGGTCAAGTAGGTAGGAAGAGGGCAGTCTGCAAACAGCTGGTGACTTCTAGCTTATTAGAGGTGTCAATTTGAATGTGCATTGACCATGCCCCTTACATGGTTCACTAAGGGTGTAAAAGACCCTACCCTCCTTTTTCCCCCTCTTTTCTAGTTGTTCCTAGAATGGTGGTGGCAGGATCCAGCGTGTAACTCAGGCCAACTCACAGTGGCAGAAAGAGGGCCTGATCCCGAGGGGACTGTAGAGATGAGAATTAAGTTGGGAGGGGGAGTGGAGAGAGAGAGAGATTGAGAGGGAGAGAGAGAGAGTGAGTGAGTGAGTGAAGGGGGAATACTTCCTCCCCTAACTCACCCTCATTCCTGAGTTGGAAAATTAACAATTCTTGGCACGCTTTAAGGTACAACAGTTTAGAGTTCACTGACACGCTAAGCTGTCTGCGCCCTTCTTAGCTAACAGGAACCTGCCTGTTTTGTTGAGCCTCCTTTTCCTGGTGCAGCTGCGGAGCAAGAGTGTGAGGGAGCTGGACAGCACAGACTTCAAGCTGCTTCACCAGGGTGAGTCTGTGCATCCATCTTCTCCCCCGGAGCTTTGATCTGTGTTTGTTAAATGTTCCTTGAGATGATTAGGGGCTGGCTCTTTGTCCTTTGAGAGAAGGTGTACCTTGCATTACAGTTATGGTTACTTTGCGATACTTTCATGGGCAGAGCATTGTAAAGAGCCCTGGTTACCAGTTCAGTCAACAAAACCCAGGTTCTCTGCCTCTTGCATTTATATTTGTTGTCTGAAACCTCATGAGGTGGCCAAAGCATTCTCCTGGCCATGAGACGATTTCAGGGTCTGTGACTGTTGTTGATTTGGCACATGACGGTATTGCTGATGTGCTTCCTGAAACATCCTTCCTCATCCACATTTGTTAACACACTCTTTTGGGGTTTAGGCCACAGGAGTGTCCTGTGAACCAGCCATCAGGGACCAGCAGCCTAGTGAACCTGGGCTTTTCCTGGAGTGTGAATCCAGAGTATATGGGTCCCAACCAGCTGCAGGACTTGCCTACTCCACTGCAGAGACATAGAATAGTGGGTTGTATTTGTTTACTCGCCATACCGTGACCTGCTCTCTTGTCTGGTGATCCATACTTGGTGACTTCTCCCTTCTTACTTGGCTATTGGAGGTTCATGCAGGCTGTGAAAAAAGAATAGTTAGTAGAGGGAAGTTCAGCTGATCCATCCTCTCATCTCTCCCCTGCTCTGACAAATTGATCTCTCCAGCAGACTTTGAAGGACTATCCCCTTCAATTTGAAATGTTCCATCTCTCGGAGCTGCCTGCATTGCCCTCATTGTCAGCAGTGCTTCTCAGACATTCATTAGCCAAGGGAACTGAGGTTGTGGAATAAGCATGTCCTCTTTATACCAGCCCTTTTTAGCTGTTGTGATTTCAGAGCACAGCTCAGCTGCTCCCAGGAGTCGCAAGCTCCTTCTGCTCTTGCTTTCTGCCCTGTATTTTTCAACACAACTCTCTCCCTGCTCCAGCCACCTCCTTGGTTCCCTGCTTGACTCCCCAGGCTATGTTCTTCAAGGCTGAGTGTGCAGGGCACTCTCCTCTGACGAGGCCTAAGTGAAACCGGCTCATTGATGGAAAGGGGGAGGCGTGTTGATGTGTGTTTTTTGAGAATTGCTGACTCAGACTTTAAGCTCTTCAAAAGATTTCCTATGACGGTTTTGCTGAGCCCTGCAGTCCTGGATTTCCCTCCCAAACTCTTGCTAAACATTGTTGCTAAAGTGTTTGGTGCTTACAACAAACACAGTGCATTTATTCCTAGCGTGAGCAGGGTTGGTGAGAGAGGGAGAGCACAGCTCTCCATGCCATTCCCAAGTCTGGTCACCATGTGAGACAGGCACGTGGCTGTTTATGGTTGACCTAGTATTAGGATCAAACTCACTCTGTGGAAACAGGTAATTTATAGTCTGTTGCTCTCGGATTCATTACTGCCCAATGCGATATATGCCCTTTAAGATACCCTTTTCTATTCCCCCCTCCCTATTATTATCCTCCACTGTACTGTCTGATCAAACACACTAGGGCAGATGCCTATGGCTTTGTCTGTACCATGCCCTTCACTTTTTTCTATTTTCACTTCAGAATGTGTCATTTTTGTCTGAATTCTCTCCCCACTGACTAACTTCTTTCTTGGGCTGAGGTGCTGTTATGTTGGTGTCTGTTATGCACATTCTTTTGTTTCCAGTCAGTAATCTCTGTGGGAAATGCAGGCCGAGGGACACTGACCTCCTGCAGCCATCCTTGAATTTTCTGTACTGGAGCCTTCATCAGACAACATCTTGTAGTCAACAGAGAGGTGAGGCAAGATTGTGTTGATCGCTAAGTTAATCTCAGTGAGGTTGTAGCTTGAGCATCAGAGACTGTGTTCTAACTGTCTCAGCAGGTAAGGTGGATTTTTCCCCTTCCAGTTGCAGTGTTACAGTTAATAAAGACCATTTTGTATTTGGGATGAGGTTTTTTAGGTTGAGGGTTTTGTTTTGGTTGGTTTGTTTTTACTGCCTTCTGATGATTCAGGAATTGGCTACTGAGAGACAGAACCACTGTATTTTTCTTGTTCATAAAACACAGCAGTGGGGCTTTGGTGCCTTGTTTGAAATGTCCTGGTGTTGCCATGGTTCAAAAAATTAAACAATAATAGAGAACAGCTCTAACCAACCTTCCAGCTGTGTTAGCTGAAGGTTGGTCATTTTATTAGCTGGCCGAGTGGTCGCTTGTGCTGTGGGAGATGAATACCAGTGTAGCTGGACAGCCTTACTCTGATGAGCTGTGGCAGCTGAGGCTGCCTCACTGCAGCAGGGGTGTGCTCTGCACTTTTTTCTGCTTGTCAAGCTGGTTTAACCTGTGCCATCCCATCAGCCTCTCTGGTTATGTTTCTCCCATACAGCAGTGGCTGTGCTGCTCTCCAACGTGTCCTTGCTAGAGCTCCTGCAGAAGGTTTTGGAGTGCACCTGGTTGCGGTCCCCTCCCTCTGAACCTGCTTACCTGTCACCTGAGGATGCATTGCTGTGCTCTGGATGGCTGTTGGTTGCGTCCCTCATACTTTATCAGCATCGCTACAAAACTGAGGTTAGAACCACTCTAGTGTTCAGATCCAGGGAATGGCTAAACCTTAAAAAAAAAAATCATCTTCATTAGCAGAGGAAAGTGGTTTCCTTTGGTCTGGAATCCGCTTGCCTTTGTTGCCCTTTTGTTATTGTCCGCAAGTTATTCCCTGCAGCACTTCTCCAGCAGGACTGGAAGCTAGCATGCTGCTGACGACTGAGAGCTGAATCATTGGAGAGTTAGAGAGGGGCAGAAATCCTGGGGGAAAATGTGCAAACCCAGCCCTCCTGATCCAAATCACTTTCCTCTTCAGCAAATGCATTTTAAGGCCTTTCTGAAAGGAAGACTGGAGGTGGGAGACACAGCTCCCATGTTGTAAACTGCTTTTTTGGTGCTAAAACAATCAATAGTGGGACAGCCACAATCCAAACCTATTATTGGCAAGTAAGTGTTCAATATTAGCAAGCTCGTATGAATGTGGGCAGCTGTCGTTGTATTTGGTGCTTTGCAGTCTGACAAGAGAGCTAAGCTGGAGTTGTCAGCTGATGTTGGAATTACAGCTTTGAGGGAAGCACTTTCTAATGCCAACACAAGGGGATAATATTTGCTTTTGAAGTATCTACCCAGGCCTCTCAACCTCTCTTGAGAGGGAGTTAAACCGTGTCATGAGTTGTCAGCTCTGCTCTTGCAGTTATGGCCCACAGAGTATGTTCTTTAGGAGTCAGTGCACCTATTCGCAGATGATAAAATCCCATTAAGGACATGCATGCATCTGCACAGAGAGGCAAGAGTTGGCTTTCTAATGCTGAGGGAAGACGTTTTCCAAAAGGCCAACCCAGACCAAGTCTGGTCCTGTTGCTTTTTGGGTGTGCTGCCTCTGCTTAGGTCTTGCAGCATGGGACGTGTATGGGCTGCCAGCTGTGTGACTGCATAGCAAGACCTGCCTGTCCCTGCTCTGTTAACTGCCGAGCACAATTTACCTTCTCAGTTTCCAAGTCAGGGCTGTGTCTTGAGTGGTCAGTGTTTTGCCAGTCCCAAAAGGGATTCAATTCTAGTGGCTAGTGTTGAGCTTCACCTTCTGTGAGGGACTCTCTCGGCTTACATTGATCCTTGAAGTGCAATCATTTAGTGGCTTATAAACCTGTTGCTTGGCTTCATCAACACCTTACTGGCTTGATGTGCTGTGATGTGCAATCCAGAATCCTTCTTGCACCGGAGATGGGTAAAGAAACTACAGATACAGGTGGCTAATGGAATTGGTTCAAGGATGCTTCAGTGTTTCCTAATCATCAGAATTTCTAAGCTTCAGTGTTTCTAGTCTTCTGCTGAAGGGGAAGGAGAGGGGATAAGAGGAAGACTCGCTTTTCTTGCTTCTTTCTGCTGCTCAGTGTAGCTGAAGCTGAACAGGCCCTTGTAAGAGAGCCTTTGGCCTTTGTGGCTGTGAATGTGAGCTGATGCCAGGCTGTGTCCCCAAGCCTGCAGTTTTTCAGAGGGGAACAATGGCTCTGAGAAATGGCCACGTTAGTCTCAGGCTGTTGTTAATAGTGAGGACTTGTCCGGGCATAGCAAGCTTGCATGTTAACTGTGTTACTGCTGTTGGCTTTAGCAGAAGCCTATGGATAAACATGAGTCATGGATGGGGGGCTATTAAAAGCTTTGGCTTGTCCGTTCTTAGACAAGTAACCACTGCCACCCTGTTGCAGGAGGTACTCCTAGCTCTCCTATTGAACATGTCTCTCTTCAGAAGACGGTTTGAAGGAATAATCCCTGTGGTCCTTATGCCCACCCTGCCATGCCAACTCTCTGCCTTAGTGAAGAGCTTGAACCTTTCTGAGGCTCTGTGAGGCTTTATGCCATTGCTGCTGGATGGTTGCTCTGTGAGGGAAACAGTGTACTGCAGGCTGCCCTCTCAAGCTGCCCTTTCCTGTTTCCCCTAGTTCCCAAGTCCCTAACCTCCTCTGCCTCCTTCACCCATGCCATAGTTCCTAGCCCTGAGCTCTCTGCAGGCTTCCCAGCTCCAGCAGGCAGGGCCAGATTCTTGTCCTCACTGCTGGCTTTCAGCTGCCTGGCGCCTCGGTCTTGCTGACTGGCTGTGGGGCTAAGGCACAGCTGTGTTTGGTGGTGGCTGTTCCTGCCACCACTCGGTGTGCTCAGCAGTCTGCCAGCCATGTGCCAGAGGGCCTGCAGGGAGTAGTGAGCGTGAGACAGGCAAACGAGTTGCACTGTGGTTTGGAAGGTGTGCGGGGCTGGCGGTGGGTGAAACTTGAAGGCCCAGTGATGTGACTCTCCCTTCTGGGTCAGAATCCTGACACCCGATTGCTGTTCCCTTGTTCTTCGATGGTCATCATGGGGCAGTGTCTAAGGACTGAAAGTATGTAAGAGGGCTTTTTACCAGGTCCAGACTAGCACCATTTATTCTCTTATATTTCATTCTCCTCTAGGTTCACCAGACACTCTCTCTAGACCTAACAGAAGTCCTGAATGCAGTCATCTTCAGGAAGAAGAAGCCAATCCTGCTGTTAGGTATTTTGCCTCAGTTACAGGGATTTGACTGGAAGCATCTGCTAGTACCATGCTACAGGCAACAAGGGAGAACTGGTGACTATGGGATGGGATGGTGCAGGTGCTGGTGGGAGTCTGGAAGCTTTGGTCCATTTGGCTTTGAGAGTACATAACTGGTGGTGAGAAAGGGCAAATGGGAGTTCTGCTGTGTTTGAGCATATCTTCCTTGGAGGTTGATAGTGACATCTGGAACTGAGTGTGAACTGGGATAGAATCTGACAGGGAGGAGACGAACAAGGGAACTCATGTTGCCATTCCTGCCTGCAGCTGTCAGCAGCTGCTGGGCAACTCCGGTGGGCCCTTAAGCCCAAATTTTCTCTTCTCACCCTCTCCCATGCTATTGCACAGGCACCAACACACGGGGCAGGGGAGAGGAAAATACTGGCACACACTAATAAGTGGCTCCCTGTCTAGTGAGCATCATGCAGTTCCTGAGAGCTGCCCTGCGACAGAACTTCTCCTCCTCTCTGCTGGTGATGGTTGGCCAAAACACAGCCCAAGGTGCTACACAACCACAGCCATCATCACTGCAGGATGCTGCCTTGCACCCCCTTGCCACACGGCAAGTCTTCTCGCTGGTTGTCAGTCTGCAGAACCTTTTGGTGCATGTCCAGTTGCAGGTATATAAAATATGACTTTTGGAGCAACACCAGTGTGGTTGGGCTTCAAGCAGGTACACTAACCTGAGAAGAAACCACCTTAGATTGCAGAACCTAAGGAACTGCATTTCTTTTCCTTCTGCCTGCATTTTCCACCCCTTACAGACATGAGGAGGAGGAGGGAAAATGCACTTGCTGCAGCATGGTGCAGTGAGAAAGAAGGTAAATCAAGCTATGCGGTACTCCCTGCTGCTGAACTGGATAGCTGAAATTCTCTGTACTAATGATGATCTCTGTTTCCCATCTCTTGCTCTGCAGGGATGCCACGCCCATAGGGACAGAGGAGGGAAAAGTGTAACAAATCCCACTCCCTCCCCCACGCTCCTGGCAAGGTGCTTTGTGGGGTAGTACATCAGTGTACATTTAACTTGCTCAAGTGACGTTGGGCTCCAGGGGATAGTACATCAGTTTATGTTTAACTCTCTTGAGCGATGTTGGGTTCCCGTCTTTACTTTTTGGAGATTGTTACTTACTTAATTTTTTTTTAGTCTCAGAATAAGTAGTCGTGCCTTTGTCTGGCTCCTTGATGTGACAGATAATTTGCAGCACGTTACATCCCGTGAAGGAGATGAAGGGTGTTATTTCCCTATGCTGCACGCACTTCAGATCCTGCTGCTTTATGAATTTTCCTCTTGTGATAGCTGTTGATTGGTTTTTTCCTTCTCTTTTTCCCCCCTCTTGGTATTCCAGAAAGACTTCCTGCTCTCTCAAGCTGTGGTTGCCTGCCTGGAAACCTTAGTGGAATACCTGTCTATGAAGAACCAGGATGTTGGTAAAGTCTTCTTGCTCTTTCTTCTCCTGAGTTTCTCTCCTGCAGAGATTTTGAGCTCCTTGATCTTCATCCAGTAGCACCCTGGAGCAGATGCTTAATGAGTTTATGCTCAATAAGAAAAATTACTTGTATGGCTAAAGTTAATCCTGTGCTTTGTGGGATGAAATCACAGTGCCTGGCTCCCCTGCAGGCATGAGCCCTCACTTTGCCTCTGGACACCAGGATGCTTAACAGAAGTAAAGAAGTCATTCCCCACCCCCTTCATATGGTGACAGTGAAAGGTTTAGGAATGGAGGGAGTGTAGGAATAGTCTTCCACTTCCAGGCCAGTTGTAGCAAACCTTTAGAGCATAAATACAGGGAAGAGTGAATCTGAATATGATGGATCTTCCACATGGACAGCATTGGTCAGAGTTTGGTCCTGAGGGAGAAGGGAGAACGGGTATTAGGCAGCCTTAGGAAATGGAAGCTGGAAATTCTAGATTTCCACGGGCAATGTTGACCTCGGTTTCCAAAGTTCATGTCAGACCTAATGTATACCATGTTAGCAATATAACATAATATGACAGCATTGTACAGTCAGGGGGAAGAACAGACCCTTCTGCTTATTATCAGCCTCCTGCCACAAAGTCCAGGTGCTGGCTCTGATCTTAAAAGACACAGAAATTTCTCTGTACCCTGACCTGTTCAATTCAGTCATTTAAACACTGAGAGAGAAGGGGATGGAGTGAATGAATACCAGACAAAAGGGACATTGGTGGGAGAGGGAAAGTGGTTGAATGAAAACTGAACCTGGCACTTTGGCTGCCTAAATTCTTGTTGTGGTGCAGAAGTTCACAACAGTGATATCAGGAGTCTCTTTATTCCAAGCAGAGTGAGGGTCATAGCTATGTTTGACCAAAAGATGCGAGAACACTGCAAAGAGAGTGACCTGGACTTGGCCTCTAGCAGTTGCCTCATTTGAGGCTTTCTAAAGCCCTCTCTTGGTCCAGAGATTTTTCCAGATGTAGAGAGCAGGCTCAGTGCACAGTGTTGGTATTTTCTCATTTCCGCCAACTAAAAGATACCCCCAAACATTTTAGATTATTTTTTAGTATTGTTTTCCCATAGAAAAGATTCTTGTAGTGGCCATAGGGAGGTTACGTGACTGCCAGTGGAAAAGGGACCTTTCTGAAACTCTGGTGAGTTGCCATGGTATAACAAGCTATATCAGCTGACCTGTTGTAATGGTCCATCCCATGCAATAAATACATCCTAATCTGCAATAAATGCAAGGTAGTAACACTGAAGTTCAGTGAGAGACTTCACGCTGTCACAGATGGTGACCTTGGGCCTTACCTCTCTTACATGCTCCTTCTTAAGAACATTTTCTCTACTGATTGTTTGCATTGCTGCCATCAGCATGGCTGGTCCCCGTAGTACGCTCTCTGATGCGGATCCAGGCTCCGTTTGTGCAGCTTATGTTATAGGTCTTTCTTCATTTCCCAAAGAGTATTCTGCAGCTAAATAAAACCTGTGGTCAGGAAACTTGTCCTCATATTGAAACCAGAGGGTATTATTTTTAAAACTCTGGCTAAAGATATCCCGTTACTGTTTTATGACATGCACCCCAGGAGAAGGTTTCTCTTCCTGTACCAGCACAAAGGTGGACAAAATATATTTTCTGCTTAAAAAAGCTATTAAGCTTTTGTCCTCATGACTAAACTCTTGCCCAGAGATCAGCAGATTAAAAAGGAAGTAAGAACAGAGCAAATTATCCCCTTAGTGTTTCACAGCATGAGGTCTAGAAGAGAAACTTGCAGTCAGTATTGAAGACTGTCCTTATCCGAGTCCAGCCTGTCACTTGTCTGATTTTAAAGCTGTCTTTGATGGGCTGCTCCTTCTTCCCCAGCTCTACATGTTGCTTCACAGCCCTGGCACCGATTCCTGCTCTTCACACTACTCCATGGGGGCCAGAAGTCCCTTCTGCAGCCAGAAGTTCTCAGGCTGATGACTTTGGTGAGCAGGGGAAGGGCAGGCTGTTCTCCTCTTTTTCCAGTGTGTCGGTACAGCGCGTGTGGGTCGGTTATTGGAACTTACCCCCTATGCACACACAATCTCAGATCCTGCTGCGGCTTTGTCTGTCACTATATTTTACCCTATAATAATGATGGTTTCAAGTGAACTTCCCTTCCACACCCTGCAGAAACTAACTGCTGCTAGTGAGCACGTCCTGTTCTTCTGGTATTTGTAGCATTTATTTATATCATCTAGGACCCCTGGGGAGGAGAGGGGAAACGTACAGACACATGCAACTGCTGTTGCCAGTCAGGGAGTTTGCTGCTGCTCCCTGGAGACCAGGGCTCTACTTGGCATCAAAGCTCATCTCCCCATCTTTGACCTTCCAGACCTGGCTTTTCAGGGCAGGGAGTTACTGCAACCTACTTCCCTGCTGTACCTGGGGCCTGCAAGCGAGAGAGGGAATGTGGTCCTGCCTAGCAGAAATACTGAAGATAAAGCCCTCATGGCGGTGGATGAGAGGAAGGGGTTATTAATGCGAACCTTCCCCCTCCAAATACATGACGGGTCTGTGAGTCTTTGTTGTTCTTATTTCACTTTTTAAAGGTTACCTGGCTTGTTTCAGTTCCTTTGCGACCTAAACCAAGATAAGTCTGGCTGTAAAGCAGAACACCATCAACACGGATATTTGCACTGGTTCTATTAGAAGTGATGTAAAAATCGGGCTTGTGGTTAAGGTGCTGCAGCATCCCGTTACATAGAAGAGGTCTTTCCAGGAGATGAGTCACTGTTGCAGTCTGTGGGTCTTTCATTCTTTAATGCCTCTACTTTTTCCTTTGTTCAAGTTTCTGAGATATCAGAGCAGCAATATTATTTCTCAAAAAGAAATTAGCCAGATTCTCCAGGAGGCAGCAGAAGCCAACTTAGCAGAGCTGCCTGAGGCCACATCTCGTGCTCTTCATCTCTTCCTTTGTCAGGTAAGGGAGCAGTTGACCACCTTGGAAAATGAGAAGGGAATCCCTAGGGGATTGCTTTAGCCTTTGATGGGGAGCCATAAACTTCCTTTGAGGAGGTTATAGTAAGATGAAGAATCCTGCAGCTGCTAGCTTGGCCTGCTGCCTTGAGGGATGTACGGTGAAATCGGAAAGAGA